TTGTTTAATTTTTACCTCAGAGCATTTAGTTTTTAAGCAGTTGCTTTTAGCAAGATAAATATGGCTAATGTATTGCTAAAATATAAAAATATTCTTTCAAAATAATAGACTGAACTTTTATGCTTTAAAAATTTTATTGTACAAATGAACTCTGTCATAATCCTATTTAAAATGAGAATGGAATAAAAAGTATAGCATGAGTTACACAAATTTGATAATAATTTCTGCAGTGTTAGTACCCTAGGAAATGACACTTCATTTTGGCTACGCATTGCTCCATGCATCTCATGTGAAGATAGCTAGGAGAGTAGCTCACTTGTTGTTCGTGTATATCATGGAAATAAAGTTTCAAACCTAAAGAGAAACAAGCTCAGCTTTCCTTCCCAGATGATAAAATTCCATTAAATGATTTACTTCTGAAGCAGCAGTTAAAGAGAAATGACCGCGGGGATATTCATATTTTCAGAAACAATTTTCATGTTCATGAGGAGGGGCCTTCTCTCCCTGTAATCCTGATATCAAAAGTCTCATAAGATTGATCTGTACCATTCATAACTATGAATTCTGTGAGTTTTTTAGCTCACTCTTTACAAACAAATGAGCTTTTTCATTTGTTCCTAATGACTTTGGTTTATACAAAGAGATCTTAAACTGTTCCCAGAGCAATAATTTTCCTAAAATGTTATTAGAACACCTTTACAAATTTAGGAGCAAAAGGTTTCATTAACAGTGGGAGGCATTGGGATCTGTAGGCCCTTGGCAAATACAGTGCTCACCAGTCTTATTTTATTTTCAGTGATGATTACAAATGATCTTGTGAACTGTACATTGATTCTTTATCTGGTAGGTAGGTAAGGAGGATGGGTAGTTGATGGGGTGGGGAGAGATGCTAGAAAAATCAGAACAGTATTCTCAGGCAAATCAGCTCTATCCGAGTTCTTCCTAGGAGTTTTAAGAACGTATGCAATGTGTACATCCTAGCTTTTGCTAATAAAGCCATTTCTCCCTCAAGAGCTTGGGGATTAGTAGAGAGACTGAGAATTATTTTTCAATGGGCCATCAACGAGCTTCAGATTATACCTGTAAGCATGTGTGTGTCTCATTTCATAGTAATCAGAGTTGACACATCTGCTACACTCAGAGTGATGGCTGTGACAAGCCTGAAACTTGACCTGAAGTTCCTTGCAGAACACATCCACATGATGCAGTTTTTCTATGGGTTTTCGGCAGCAGCTGATAATGAAGGACCTGCCCCTGTTCTGAGCAGCGTTGCCTTCAAAGGCTTTTTCTGCTGCGGACACTTTGTGTTGACTTCCTTCAGGGTGGTCGGTCTGTCATTTCATCCAATACTGTATTGCTGGGTGTCCTTTCAGGATTTCTTCCCCTTGCTCTGCCTATGAACAACTCGCCAGACAGCAGCTCCTTACATACATCACTAATCTATGTCCTTTTCAGTCACCCAGAGGCTGCATTTTAGCAAGTATCACTTCAGTGCCGGTCAATGGAGTTGGAAATGGAGATGGAAATCCTGTCTTGCCAACATTGAATACTGCTCAAAGATAATTGATTAAAATGTGGGTTTAAAAAAAAAAAGTTACTAAAAAAGCAGGTGAGAGGTGACATCTGTGACTGGTTCAACCCCTCACTGGAGAGGCCTGGGGCCTAGTGATAGTACCTTCTTACAGGATATACTATCTTTTATTTAAAATTTGTTGTTGCTTGCACTTTATATCAATTATTACTTTATTGGACAACAAAAAGCAGAATTAAATGACTTGGCAAATTATTACTATTAATCCCATTGCCGTTGAGTTGATTCCAACTTATAGCAACCCTATAGAACAGAGCAGAACTGCCCCTTAGGGTTTCCAAGGAGTGGCTGGTGGATTTGGATTAGAACTGCCGACCTTTTAGTTAGCAGCTGAGCTCTTAACCACTGCACCACCAGGGCTCCATTACTATTAATAGACATCAGTATATTTTGCCTTCATGACCATTAGCCATCTCTAAGCTAAAGAAAATAGGAAATATTCTCAAGTTCAGAATGTCTTGATTCTTAACTTACTATCTAGTTATTATAGTGCATAATATCCTAAGAACAGGGTTACCTCTCCTGCAAAAAGAAGTTCATCATACAGACATCATGATATTATTGTAGATGTTAAACAAAATAAGATGTAACTGGAACATTCTTGTAGTTAGGTGCCATCAAGTCAATTCTGATTCATAGGACCCCATGTGTGACAGTGTAGAACTGCTTCATAGGGTTTTCTTGGCTATAATCGTTACAGGAGCATATTGCCAGGCCTTTCTCCTATGGAGCTGCTAGGTGGGTTTGAACAACCAACCTATCTGTTAGTAGCCCAACACTTAACCATTTGTGCCATCTGGGCTCCTTAACTAGAACATAAAACCCAAAAAACCCAAACCTATTGCCATCAACTTGAATCCAACTCATAGCAACCCTACAGGACAGAGTAGAACTGCCCCATAGGGTTTCCAGTGCTGTAAATCTTTAAGGAAGCTGACTTCCACGTCCTTCTCCAACTGAGCGGCTAGTGGCTTTGTACTGCCGACCTTTCAGTTAGCAGCTGAGGGTTTAACCACTGCCACCAGGGCTCCTTCCTTAAAACGTAGCACTATGCAAAAGTATTATGTTCTACCTCTAATGCTCCTTTAGCCAAAATCCAGGTCTTTGGATGGGCCAATCCATTTATTCATGTATGTATGTGTCTGACACAGTTTAACATCAGCCAATAGTAGCTACTGGATAACAAGATTATGGACTTTTGATGGTAAGGAGCTCTGGTTATGAACTTGGCTGATAACCAAAAGGTCATTGGTTCAAACCCACCAGGGACTCTGCAGGAGAAAAGACCTGGTGATCTTCTGTAAAAATTACAGCCTAGCAGACCTTGTGGGATAGTTTTATTCTGTCCTATAGGGTCACTATGAGTGGAAATGGATACGGTAGCAGCCAACAACAACATAGTACATGGCGCTCATGTTCTTTCTAGGAAACAGTTTATCATCTGCTTTTTCATTTCTTTTGGCTTTTCTATATTTCTATGTACCTTTTCGTCTTCAAACCATTGAAATTGCAGACTGGTTTTGTAGGCAGTAACAGACCTAACTCAGCTGACCCTATCCCTGTATTCCCTTGCTATCTTAATATCTTAATACATTCCTCATAGAAAGCAAGCTGTTACTATTAAGTCTAGTATTAAGAAAATATGCACTGGCTGATGAATTAGCGATTTCAGTAGATATTTTATTTTTACTTCTGGCAAATTGTCATGTTAATCTCTTGACCAATGTCATGACAATCGTACAGTGATACACTCTGAAGCCTATAATATTTGGAGTAAATGACTCTCTTTTATAGCAGTTTATTTAGAGAAAGTCTGTATTTCTTAACTTTCTTGTTGAATTTAGTAAAAAATAGTGGCATCTCTGTAATCTCATGTTCTATCTATCAGTATTGAGCACATTCTTCAAAATAAGGTTTCCTTAGTGACTTCAGTTTGTTGTGTGGAAAGCTGTTCATAACCAGAGCAAGGGGAGGAAGCTATCACCAACCATCATGAAGGCTACTGATACTTTGTAAAAGGAGTTCAGGGCTGAGAGGGAAGCCAAAAGAAAGATATGAAGCTCTTTGCTGGTTTCTTCTCGTCTTTGTTGTTTTCGTTTCTTTAAAAACAAATCAAGGAAACAGCCAAAAAAAAAAGAAAAAAGAGATTGCTTGTCTGTAATGCCACAAAGAGAAAAAGGTGCAGTCAGCAAAGTTCGAGTAACTTTTCTCCAAACACTTTAATTACTTGCAGGAAGAGATGAATAGTTTTAGCCATTTCTGGAAACCATAAATTTTGTATAATATTTCTTACATCATACATCTGGTATAATGCCACCGTATCCTGATTGTAGCCCTCTTTAGCTGCTGAACAAAATACAGTGACAAACATCTTATTTGTAGTCACTCAAAGACTTCCTCCTGTGGTTCAGACACTCCTTTAACCACAGCAGTATTTTAATCATCAAAGTCCTAAATCCTTCAGAAGGGATTGTGACATTTTGTTATCCAGACAGAGCACTTTGTTATTATTAGCCACAATCACATTATAGATGAAAGTTTTAATAATAGGTTAGTGAACATTATGGAAGTAAACATAAAATTTTTTAAGTTTTTTTTTTTTTTAAATACTGGTATGTCCTTTCAGATAAATGTTTTAAACACTTATTAAATGTGGTGTATATCCAGAAATTTGAAGGAATACTATTTAGTAAAATAAGTAGATGTGAAATTTACAAGTTATGAATAGCCAAGAGTAATTAAATCTGCTGAAAGTGTTTTCCACTATAACACTATATTTTGGAGTCAAAGTCAAAATTTAATGTGTACATATATATATATATATATATATATACACTTTTTTTTGGTGATAGTTTTATAAAGATGGGGGAAATATTTTATATGTTCTCAAAATTTCTACTTATGTTTTATTAACTGTGTTATTTTTTCCAGATTCCAGAATTTAGAGAGTTGTTTGGAAAAATTATTTTTAGAGAAAATTATATAATAATTTAGGAGAAATTTTCTGTATTCTCCAAATTAATTAGTCTTTTCATTCTTATGTCTTATCATTTCTTATGTCTACCAGTTGTAAGAGCAAAATTTTTAGATAATAAGTATATTAATGTAGGTCAAAATATAAAGCACCCTGTTTCAATTGATTTTTGAAAATTTATGTTACTGATTTCATTTAAACATTTCAAGAATGGAAATAATAATTGTATTTAATACTGCCTTTAAATACATATTTTTTTCATTCTTTCACCAATATATCTGAATAGCATTACTATATAATATTATTCCTTTTCAGGTAAAATCTAATTAATAAAATCATCTTTTAAAATTGACTGTAGTGAAGCAGGATCTCTCTTTATTGTCAATACTATGAAGCTTTTAATTAACAGAAAACTACCATGGATTGCTTCTTTAGAATACCACTAAATGTTAGAGACATCGTCTACTGTACAGGAGTTTCCCTACTGGATGAGGATGTCTGGGAATTCATATGGATGAAATTCCACTCCACCACAGCAGTTTCTGAGAAGAAAATATTATTGGAAGCTTTAACTTGCAGTGATGACAGGAATTTATTAAACAGGTGGGTCAAGTAATTTTCTAATTTGTAAATGTGTAATGAAGGTATTCCTCTGTTAATCAGATTGCTCTGGAGTTGTTTTTATTTGCTTGAATATATGCTAGTTACTCTAAAATATATCTTCCCAAGGCATGGGAAAACTGTTATGTCTTATTTACCATATCTTTCTCCTGCAGAGAGGCTGGTGTGTTCCAACTGCTGACCTTTTGGTTAACAGCTGAGTGTGTTAACCACTGTACCACCAGGGCTCCTTCCTAGAATATATGTTAGTTACTCTAAAATGTTTCTTCTCAAAGCATAGAAAAAATTTTAACAGGATTAGAGCTAGCTGACTTGAGAGATATACCTTTGTTAATGACTATTATGTTTATATATATAGGCATATATAGGAAAATACTTCATTATAAAAGGAAGTGTTCACTATTTTAAAAAAATTTTGAGTATGACATCATCAAACCAGAACTGTGAGTTCTCCACCCTCTAGACTTTTTCAGAATTTACTTGATATATTTATTTTGAAATGCTATGAGTTTGACCCTTTCCCTTTTATAAGAAAAAATTTGTCCTGTTGATTAGTAAAGTTGACAGTGAACTCTTCTTTTGAAGACTATGACAGACTAAATTATGTATTTATTAGGAAGATTATAAAAATGTTTAAGTCCTTGCACTAACAATTTGTCCACAATTCTATTCTTAAGGCTCCTGAATCTGTCCTTGAATTCTGAGGTAGTGCTGGATCAAGATGCAATTGATGTCATAATCCATGTCGCCCGAAATCCACATGGCCGAGACCTTGCCTGGAAATTTTTCAGAGATAAATGGAAGATATTAAATACCAGGTAGAAATAAGAACTCAATTATTCATACTTGAGTGAGTAAACTCAGGGTGATATATGAGTGATAAAGTTCCAAAGTTTTTTGTTATACCTAAGATCCAAGAAATAAGATACATTTTAAAATAGTCAGCCAAGATGGCAACCAAGTGATGTTGCCACTTAAGTAAAACTCAGAATAATTTTATAAATTCTATAACATTATCCATTTATTAAAGACAGATAACCTTAATTAATTTTATATGTAAAGATGGGGAGTGCAAAAGGTTTAATGGAGCAACTTTCCAGAAAATCTATCAAATTGTCCGAGGTTCGAAGAAATCACACCATGAAACTGCTGTATCTTTAACAGGTTACAGGAAAACTGATTTAGAAACTAAATATGACATTATAATCAGAAAACTTTAATTACGTTTGTAAAATTCTTTTAAATATCCTTAAAATATAAATATAAAATACTTGAAATAAAACCATGATGCAGAGAAGGAACGTTAATCAATTTGAAGCATTGTAAGATTCTAGTTGTAGTAGAATTCATTCCCAGGATATCTTGTTTCATGGTAAGATTTCTTCAGCCTCAATTCAAAAGTATTTCATTATGTATTTAAATATATTATAATAAATGTTAATTTATTACTCTGATAATCTCTGTGGTATTTTGAAATTAAATTTATTATAGAGCATGTAAATGCTGCATATTCTTCTCAAACTTAAATGTCCCCAGACAGTAAGCAGGCCTACTGATCTTCCTCTCAAAAACTGGTATATAGACTTTATTACTTTAACCACACCTTTTTCAGTTGCTGCTATAAGGAATTCTATTTGAATTTGAATATTAAAACACACTTTTATGTACAGATGTTTCATTGTCAGAGAGCACTGATATCCCTAGAAGGCACGCTGGCTCTTTTTTATTTTCGGTTCAGAATATGGAATGACTGAAAGCTTAGAGTTTGCTTTGCTTTCATGCAAATAATACATTGAACTGTAAGACACTTAAGATCAAATAAATGTATGTAAGCATTTTACATTAAAGTGTAGGAATACCCAATATACAAGAGTTTCTTTAGAGTGGCTTTAAAGTGCAGTGTAATGTATGTATAGTTTAATTTCTACAAAAATCTTTGGTTCCTGGTATGCCTATTTTGTCTCACTGAAAGTTAGTGATCTCTATCCCAAAAATAAAAAGATTGATGTTTCAATGTATCTACAAATACCGTAGAGTTTTTCTTGACAAACAAGATTGCCATCTTCATCTGCTTCTACTCCTCTGTCAATCCTTGGATGCTGGACTTCTTGGAAGCCCTGTCTTTTTTCCCCTCTGCATGCTCTCGCTAGTTTTAAATGCCAACTACTATTATGGTTTCAGTCATTCCCAAATCTGTATCTCTAACTCATACATTTCCCCTAAGCTTCACCTTATGATATCCAATTGCCCATTGCGGGCCTCTCTGGGGGTATGCCTAGAAAACTTTTGTCTTTTGTCTTCCTTTTTTTAGTGAATCATACGGCCAACCACCAATTGCTCAATCCAGATACCTGGATGTCTCCATAGGGATTCCCTTGCCCTTGCCCTATATAAACAATTACACTTCAGGTCTTGTCAGTTTAACATCTCCTAATTGTTTCTTGGGTTCTTCCTTTCTTTTCCTGCTACCACTGCCCTAATGCAGGTTCTTATCTCTTTCCAGTATTCATCCAATAGCACTCGGTCTCACTGCCTCTATAATCAACCCTACACACACACCACCCTCTTCCCTCTGTCCCAAGCAGTTTTTTAAAAAGCAAATGTGACATTTTCCTGCTCAAAAACGTTCAATGATTCTGTGCCATACCTTAAATCTAAGTTCCTTAATAAGTCTTCTGACTACCCGCTTGGTCTCTTTTTCTGCTCTCCTCAGCCTCACAGTTTATACTGTCTTAATCCTGAACTGGAGCCCTGGTGGTGCAGCGATGAAGAGTCAGCTAGCCAAAACGTCAGAAGTTTGAATCCACCAGCCACTCCTTGGAAACCCTATGGGGCAGTTTTACTCGGTTCTATGGGGTCACTATGAGTCGGAATTGACACGACACCAATGGGTTTGGGGTTTTTTTGGTTAATCTTAAACTACTAGTAGGTGTCTGTACACACTTTGCCATGTCACACTCGTTGCTTTCATTTATGTTGGTCCTCTGACTAAAATTACTGTCTTCCCTGCTACACAGAGTGACTCCATACTCAATCTAGATTCTGTCATCTCCTGGAAGCCTTCCCCAGCTAAAGGAACCTTGTCTGAACACTGCGTATAAATTTATCATCATCATACTTTTACTTTCAATTTCCAGTTGCTGTCGTGTCAAGTTGATTCCAACTCATGGTGACCCCATGTGTATCAGAGTAGAACTGTGCTCTGTAGGGTTTTCAGTAATTTTTTTGGAACTGGATCACCAGGACTTTCTTTAGAGGCACCTCTGGGTTGACTTGAACTGCCAACCTTTCAGGGGATAGCGACATTAAATGGAGATTATCTGTTTATGTCTAGTTCGTCAACTAGATAGGGTAGTGCTTTGAAAGAAAGGATTGTGCTTTATTCATCATCACATGAGAGTATAAGCAAGTGTAAACAAAAACAATTACCACTCTTTTAGAAAAAGAATTATTTTTATTTCTGGACAGTAACCACTTCTGTAACCACAGACCGATTATTAATGATTATTTCTGTTATTTGTGAATGCCTATTTGTTTGTTTTTACTTAGCTAACTCTTTTCCATGGAATAGTTCAATGTTAGAATTACAACAAATCATGAAGGCCTTCCAGATCAGCCTGTTTGTTTAACAGATGAGAAAACTGAGGCTCCAGAAGCTAAATTACTTAAGGTCACATAGCTAAAGGCAGCATTAGAAAAACTCTTGTAACGGTGACTGGACCATTGTTTCCAAAAACCAATAGTCTTATTTTTGGTTTACTTACCTTAATTCTAAGAGTATTATTGTCTGTGATGGATATCCATAGCACAGTGGAGACTAATCAGTAAAAAGAGAATTTTTTCCAGCTTATTGACACAAATTGTTTGCCTTAAATCATGAGTCAGATAATTATTCTTGCCACACAAGGGTTATACAATCCAAATGAACAACTAGATATTTTATTTTACTACACATATGAAAAAATGCTAACATTTTGGCAGCATTGTTAAGAAATTTGGTTCGGTTTTTAAGTATGAAAAAAGGCAAATGCCAATGTCAATTACACTGACCAAACCAAAGTCACCCAATTATGACTGTGCAACATACTGATATAATATCCCAGTGGGTCTTGCAGACCTCTTTCTTTTCCTGAAATCCTTTTTCCTTACAGTAAATGAACCTGGTGGTATTAAAGCTGAAAGTTTTAAAATAGATTTTTCTCAAGTCTTGCATTAAAAGTGTAATACATCAAAAACCCACTGCCGTCAAGTCGATTCCAAGTCATAGCGACCCTATAGGTTAGAGTCGAACTGCCGCATAGAGTTTCCAAGGCTATAAATCTTTATGGAAGCTGACTGCCAGATCTTTCTCCTGTGGGTTTGAACCACTGGCCTTTCATTTAGCAGCAGGGCGTGTAACCACTGAGCAACCAGGGTTCCTTAAAAGTGTAATAAAATAAAAAACCATTGCTGCCAAGTCAATTCCAACTCATAGCAACGCTATAGCACAGAGTAAAACTGCCCGATAGGGTTTCCAAGGAGTGGCTGGTGGATTCGAACATCTGACCCTTTAATTAGCAGCTGAGCTCTTAATCACTGTGCCACCAGGGCTCCATAAAAAGTATAACAGGAACTCCTAATTCCATTTTTAGAAGGTTTTGTTTTGTTTTTAATTTACTACAGCTCGTTGTTGTTAGATGCTTATCAAGTCAATTCCGACTCATGGTGACCCCATGTGTGTAAAGCAGATCTGCTGAATAGGGTCTTCAAGGCTGTGACCTTTCAGAAGCAGATTGCCAGGCCTTCACTTCTGAGGCACATCTGGGTGGGTTTGAACCAACAACTCTTTGGTCTAGTTTGTGGAGTATCTAATATTTCCTGTATTCTTCTCTGGCTTATTTCTCTGAAAATTTAAGCCAATCAGTTTTTTGACCACCCACGCCAACCTGTCTGAAATACTTTGGACCAAACCCCATGGGATCTGATGGTATCGTCTCTGCAGTTCCCTAGAGAAATGTCCTTGAGTACTCAGAGTTCTTAATGGTAGTCAAGACAACATTGGTCAAATGGAACCCTTGAGAAGAACTCTAAAACATTGTTATAGTAGTATTTCTTAAATTATTGCCTATGTTGACATTAAAACCTTTTATTATTTTTTTTTATCTTTTGAGGTACGGAGAAGCATTGTTTATGAATTCCAAACTTATCAGTGGAGTTACAGAATTTCTTAATACTGAAGGAGAACTCAAGGAGGTAAATATTTTAAGATGAGTTTTAATGACTTTCTTTTATAAACATATGAAATTACACATTTACTTTAACCATTTTTTTCCAAAAGATTTACACCCTTTCCTTTGCTACAAACTCACAAACACATACACTTATCCATGTTAAAAACTTTACACAGATCATTAACTGCTTGCAAAAGTTTCTTGATTCTAATGATTTTCAAACCAGGGAACTCCAAAGCCTATCCAGACATCTTTGTTCCAATTATCTACCCTTCAACTGATTCTGTGAACTCTATTTAGGACACACTAAGGAACAAAACAATCCTGTCGATAATGCTGTATTTGGATACAAAGGATCAGAGCTGGTGTTGAAGTACAAATTTTGAATTAGTCCCACTGATTTATAGTAATGCCTATGCAGATAACTGGTCATAATAATAATGCTTCATGCTATTTAGAGTGCTAAATTGAATGAATTCCAGTTGTATTGAGAGGAGCGCATTCAGTAATACTGAGATTAACAGTTTGCTTAAAATTCTACTTGGTACAATCACAAAGGAATTTCACTAGTTAAAATACACTTAATTTTGTTAAGGACTAATGTCTAGTTTGTCCCCTGGTGGCGCAGTGGCTAAGAGCTCAGGCTGCCAACCAAAAAGTCGGCAGTTGCAATCCACCAGCCACTCCTTAGAGACACTATGGGGCAGTTCTACTCTGTCCTATAGGGTTGCTATGAGTTGAAATCAACTCGACAGCAATGGGTTTGGTTTTTTTTTTGTTTGTTTGTTTTGTTTTTGGTTTGGTCTAGTTTGTGGAGTACCTAATATTTCCTGTATTCTTCTCTGGCTTATTTCTCTGAAAATTTAAGCCAATCAGTTTTTTGACCAGTAACTCACTTCTCTAACAAGAGGGGTGTCATGATGGGGAGGGGTAAGTAAGTAGGA